CGAGCCGACCCATTCGCGCTAAGATGTTAAAGCGGGCTCTATCTTCTACGGGCTTCTCTATCTTACCAATAAACTCTAACAACCTTACAAATAAACGCGATATAAAGTTAAACTTAGGTAAAATTGACTATAAACAACATTTGGATTATTCCCAACTGTCATCCCGCTCTGTCCCCATGTGAGAATAAAAAGTTACATCCGTCCCACTATCACCAATAATTTGACAGATGGAACCATTATAAGTTCCAACTGTCCCCTCGTCGCAAAAGGTAAGACGGATGAAACTTTTTATTGTCACGTGGGAACAGACCGGGGTGACGGTTGGGAATAATCCAAATATTGCTCACGTCAGTTACACACGCTCTTATCTTACTAATCTAAAATTAATATGAAAACTGAACGTAGGAGAAATTGAATTATAGACTCACCTAAAAACGTCATATCCAAATATCTTAAATCACATTGTATCCATTGGGGAGGAGTCAGAGTCAACACTCCGTCTGGCTTCGGAACTAAACTTGCACCTGGGAATTTGAAATATATTTATTAACATAAGAACTCACAAAAATGATATTAATCAAACACAATATTAACGAAAAAGAACCTATTTATCTTCACTGTTAAGTTTCCACTATATTAAATGCAATAAATGTGTATAATGTTCTAACAGTGGTAGTGCCCGCTTTAACATCTTCGCACTGCAGGGTCGGCTTGCCCGGTGTAATACCACGACCACACAGAAAATAGGCGTGAAGTGGAAGCAATTCCGCGTTTCGACTGATGAGTGTTGTGCCGGAGGCCCAACTTTAGTCCCTTTTCCTTCTTACACTTTTTCTTATAAGAAAAGGATGGGAAGGGAACGTGGATTTGACGGTGGAGGAGACGCATAGGAAGGGGAAATATCCTGTTTATGTGCGTCTCCTCCTTCGTCGATAAAGGGTAGGCAACGCATCCGCTATTGCGGATGTTTATGTGCAGCGGTCGCTTCGCCATTTCGGCGGATTCAGGTGGCCGCTTGCTCGTTTGCCACCTTATGTTTTAAAAAAATATATATTTATCAAGTTTTAGATTTTTTTTTACATCAGTTACCAAATAATGTATAGACTTAACCTGTATACATCCAACTTTGAATATTGATATTACCACATATTACATATACCACATATTGATTAATAGTTGAACACATAATTTTAAAATAGAATTATACACATTTTTGTTATTTAAATGTATACACATTTATGGAGCTGACTGTACATTTTGTATACACCAATATAACAAATCGATCTCACCATTTTGTGAATTTTTAGCTGCCGGTTCGTTTGTTGTTTTATTCGTGATGTTAGGATCTGCATTATCTACTTCATAATGGACGTACCTAAAAAAACATAGCGAGGTTACAAATATTTTGTTAGGGAACTTATTGTTATTTTGTTATTTAACACAATGTTTTCATAATTTAATTGTAAAACCTTTTTATGTTTACTAAATCTTTACAGCTCATACAAAAGACTGCGAAACTGCATTTTTAGTCTCTAGATCCATGTACAATCGTGGAAATCCGCGATGTACCACTTTCAGAAAAATTGCATTGTTCATAGCAACTAGAAAAACTTTACCTCTTCTAACAAATGTAAGAAGAGGTAGTTTTATTTAACCTTAGTTAGTTACAAAATGTAACTAAGTAATTTTCAAAGTTATTTAACTAATTAAGTAACAGTGATTAGAACAAACGTTGAAATAAAAAAGTATTGTTTTTCGTACAAACACATTTAAAAACATTCTATTGATTATTGTACCGCATCATCTCAATGTGTGTAATTTTTAACGTCTAGCTTTTATGTCACCGTCAGATTACCCGACTGTACTTGTGTAGACTAAAACCACAGATATATAGCCTTGTAAAAACGGTTTTAGCACCGATATTATGGTACGAGCTGTTGCCCGCGACTTCGTCCGCGTGGTATTAGAAAACATACGAACTATATAAATAACAAAAAGCTACGTATCCCTCGGGAACCGGACACCTCGGGGATGAACTTTATCCCATGTATACTCCAAGACTTTGTTGTACATCTGTGCCAAATTTCATTAAGATATGTTGAACCGTTGCAGAATGATCGAGTAAACGTTAAAACACTAAATTAATGAATCCCACGGGAACCGTATCTTATCCCGGGATAAAAAGTAGCCTATGTGTTCTTTCAGACTATGCTCTACATCTATGCCAAATTTCATGGAGATCCGTTCAACCGTTTAGGCTACAAACGCTAACAAACATACATCCATCCATCCATCCATCCATCCATCCATCCATCTAAGCTTTCGCATTTATAATATTAGTAACATAAGATTATATAAAAAACCACGGGCGCCTCCTCGTTG